AAATACTTCTAAAACAATACGATGAAATAGCTGTTTTCTGAGTGCCTTCAAAATTAGTTTTAAGAAAAAATTTCAATATTTGTACTTATAGATTTGGTATTAATACACCTTTTGTTTTCATATTTTAGAGATTATTGGATTAATTTACTCTCTAGGTGTTCTTCCCTGTTTCTGACCTCAAGTAACATCGCATTCATTGTTATCCGTTTACAAGATGAAGAAACAAGTATGTTATAGGAACAAATTAAATATTTTTAGATTGTAGCTGCACTATATTCTAGAGAGCTAAGTCGTAGATAGGTTCGAGCTAATTTCTTATTGTAACGCCACCGCCTCTATTAAAAAGAGGCCGTCTGTTGTAATATCAACATGTATTCCACAATATAGTGACCAGATAAACAAATTATTGACCTTTCTCATCGATTTTATTAAAGGTTTAGTTATAGGACGTTTTTTTATATTTATAACGTATAATAATATAATATTTAGGACGCTTATTTACGTTGTTTGTTTAATAACTTAGTTCTTTTAGGTGTCTCTTGGAAAAACGAATTTTCATTAGAGCATTATAAAATCCGTTCACAAAGAAAGAGTTTAATAATGTTAAGAAATTTAAGTCGTCCATATTCCATTTGTATTTACGTGGTAGAGCCAAGCTGCAGCTTTATTTATAGTATAGTTAGATATAGATATATGTTTTATTAGCATCAATACCATCACAAAATATGCATTTAGAAGTGAATAAGACATAAAAACATACAAGGTAGGTGGAAAACATAAATAAAAATAAAAAATCTCAGCAAGAGTGAGTGAGTGATGTGATGCCAAAAAGGATTACGTCTCAACATATGCTACCACAGGTACTGCAGCAGCGCTGATTTTCAGCGGAGCCCTGATAAATATTGATTCCGTATTGCGCCCGCGACGATATCGGTGACGAAAAATAATGAATCTACCATTCAAAACATTTCCAAGTGTATATGTTACTGTAAAAGCTAGAACTACGGTAAATTCTAAGATTTACCAGTAAAACCTAAGATTTACCACGTCCATAAGGTAAAAGTCCGAAGTGTTCTATGGTAATCGTTTATTTCGGACTTTTACAAGCATTCACTCGTAAATCTTAGTTTTTACCTCTAAGACACGGTAAATGTTGAAAAATAGTAATGTCTAGACGTGTTCGGCGCATTATTGTTCTTGCGAACAGTGTGCAGCCCTCTCCGCTACAGAAGGTGACAGTTCTGTTTTTATTTTTAGACTGCAACGTCTCCGGCGCTGCGGGAAGAGCAGCCTCTACGCCTTTGCGTAACAAATCGCAGGCATCCCTCCTCGTCCGATGCCTACGATTTGTTACAGTAGGCGGAGGCTGCTCCCCCTACGCGCCTCCGGCTTTATAAAAACACTCTAGGGGTAGGACAGACTCGTACCAGGTAGAGTCGGGGTCAATCAATTCGGTTCTTTGACATAATTTATTAATCAATTTTATACACATATTGTATTGCTTTAATTAATCTTCGAAAACATCGTCTTCGGAAAGAATCGACATCCCTAATGACGATGACAATGACAATACAAAATAGCATCAGTTTTACGGTAGAAATTGACATAAATATTGCAAAAATAATTGATTTATTTTCTCAAAAAATACGCGTTTCCGCATGTTGAAACTTAGTGTGTGTGAGCTTATAATAATGTAACCTTTATGTAAAAAAAATATCAACCCCCAACTCGACGGACGTCAATGGAAAGCTTTATTTTTCTATATTCTATTTTCAAAAATGACTATAAAAATGTTTTAAAATTATGTAGGTATATTATATTAAATTTAATATCTCTCACAATGTAGTTGTAGCACAAATGGGTCAGCTCGACCGGGGAAGGACCACGCTCTCACAGAATATCAGCGTAAAATAGCAGCTTAATGCTGCTGTGTTTCGTATGATGAGTATAGAGAACCGGAGAGCCTTTTCACTGGAAAAGAGCATTTTGATTCGCAAACGAGTAGGTATAGATGTAGACGTCTATGGATCACAGCAACCACTTACCATCAGGTAGACTGTGTGCTCGCCTTAGTAATTAAGCCATTCCCGCTTGGAAAAGGCTCACAATCCATACTAATGTTATAAAGACAAAAGATTTTTTTTGTTTTGAAAATTTCTATACAAGTGATGCTTTTATGACTTGCTTACCATTTTAGCCGACTTCAAAAAAGGAGGAAGTACTCAATTCGACTGTATTTTTTATGTGTGTATTAACGACACATCATCTTATATGCATCAAGACTAATAAATAATAATGACCGATAAAGTGAACTAAATTGATACAATTCTTTTGTTATTAAAATGTTTTTAAACTTATCGTACAATATACTAGTGTGGCGTATTTTCCTTATAGTGACGGCGGTCGCTTGAGGAAAACAAGTCGAAGGCACGGCACGGAGCCAATACTTGTGCCGTCTGGTATTTTATTGACTCATAGGTTTAATTGAGTCATTTGTTGTTAAAACTGATTGTATAATTTAGGGTAACGGTAAGAACATACGATTTCAACACAACAATATTTGAAGAACGTGTTAAGTCCGTCAACACGCTTGATAACTCTCTCAGAAATGAGAGAAGACCTGCGCCGCCTGCAGTAGGATAGGATAGGAATTTTACAAATGGTTTTTCTAATTGTAATGGCATATGATTAACCCCCCGAGCTCCACAAAAGGCAGTTATTTCGACCTGACAGACGGACTTTTATTTTATTTATACGTTTAAAGATATATACAACGGGTATATATCTTTACGGGTGCGGGTAACGTTTTAAAAAAAGAAAAATAAAAAAAAATATATGGCTTACACGCGATCCTATGTATGAGAATCAATTTACAACTTTTGTGCCGTTCGATCAACCCTTACGAATGTGTGCGTGAGTAGTAAAATAGTAGACAATTAGTTAAAATAATGCATTATATGTACCACGCATTTTGAATTTAGAAGATAAAAGGGACAGAATGTTTGAGACTTTTTTAAACAATTTTTCTTCACCATACATATTACTTATTCTGAACCTTCTGCAAATTAATAAATATGTATATTTAAACAGCATATATGATTATACGTAATATTACAGAAATCCAACCCCAGAAAACAGCTTGGGAACAAAATGGCTTCCTTATAAGAGATGTGTAAAAGAATACTTGAAGATGTCTTATATTGTTGACGATTGTTAATGGCCGATTTCTCAAAATAAGTAGAGTCGTGGTTTAATTTATAAAAAAATAATAAAATATTTTTTATTGGTATATTTCTCTCTTATGCCTTTCCGAAAAATAAAAAATATTTATAAAACATAGAGAACATATTACTTTGTAATTTGTGTAATAGAATCCTTCGACCAATACAACCTTACAAAGTAATATGTTCTCTATGTTCCTTCGACCACTTCGTCCCGCGGGTGTCGTTAGAAGCGACAATACGATGTAACTATGCGATATGCCAAAAATCTTAGTTAAAAAAAGTAACAGCCTATATACGTCCCACTGCTAGCCACAGGCCTCGTCTCATTTCTGAGAGGGTTTAGGGCAAGGAAATGTCTGCCGTGCTGTCCCAAGCGCGTTGGCGAACATCACATGTCTTCGAAATTTTTTTCTTCACTCACCATACGATACACAGCAGCATTAAGTTGCTATTTTACGCTGGTATTCTGTGAGAGCGTGGTCCTTCCCCGGTCGAGCCGACCCATTCGTGCTACAACTATACTACATTTTTTATACGTGGTAGAGCCATGCTGCAGCAAATAAAAAAATGGTTACTTCAAGATGGCGGTGTACACATCTTATTTATGCCAGGCGTAAAATATCCAGGCGATGGGAAGCTGCGTCAAAGATTTTGCATAAATATTACACATACATAGATATTATATACCTACACGCGCAGATATTTAATAAACAAATCACTTTTACACATCAGAATCCACTGCAAATCGTTATTTTGTAGCAATGGACAACCCTGACACAGTGCTTTTGCTCGCTGGTACAGATTCTATCTTCTATACAAATAGTATAGAACTGTCCTATACAGGAAGTTCTATAGTACTAGAATGTAGTAGTTAGTACTCACGGCTTACAGGCTAGCGTTACCAACTTTTTTTTTATAGGATCGGGTGACAAACGAGCACACAGTCCACCTGATGGTAAGTGGTTACTGTGACCCATAGACATCTACATCTATCCTCAATAAAGACTCAAGATGCAGATGCGTTGTCACCCGTGAGGACTAAGATGGAATGCCTCTTTGCCAGTAAAAAGGGTCTCCGGTTCTCTACACTCACCATACGAAACACAGCAGCGTTAAGCTGCTATTTTACGCTGGCTTTCTACGGATTCTAACTCTACGGATTTTTCCGTAGATCTACGGAATTTTTTCATCGTCTGCGGAACTACTGAATATGAGTTGAAATCTTTTGGAATTTGATTTCCATGTTAATATATTTTTTACTTAACAATCCTTTCAAAATAATTAGATTTTTAAAAACTTAACAAAAACATATTTTATCATGAGTAAGAACTTAGCGGACGACCAACAATCGAAAATTTTAATATTTGAAGTTTACTTTTTAGTATACACAACAATTGTTATACAATACACAAATATTTAAGCGTTAATTATTTTATTTGTTTATAACTAAAAATAATTAAATTAAAAGAAAACATTTTTTTATGGTACTTTTTTCTTATATGTGCAGCTTGTTATACTACAATTGAACTTACAACAAGAATTTTACATGACCGAAAGAATTCCTCCAAAAAATTGGTCTATTCTATGACAAAAACAAAAAATTTCGATACTCTTGAGAAGAATTCAGATCTACGGATATTTTGAAATAGCATCTACGGTATTCTATACGATAGTTTTATACCAATCTACGGATGTGGAAAAATTCGAGTTGGTAACACTGCTCTTAGCTAAGTCAGTGACACAGATAACTATGTTGTATTTATACTGGTCATGGTCAGTAAGAAAATCGGAGCAGTGCAGTAAGGTGTTTCGTGCGAGCTTACAAATTTATTATGATGGTGAGTTACAAGGACATTTTATGTGTCTTTATAGTGTGTTTGCTCACAGAATATTGTTCAAGTGGAAAAGTAAACAAAAAACATGTTCAAGTAAGTTTATTTTCATTATTTCATGTTATTTTAAGAATCAAATCATTTAATAAAACTTTTTTCAATATTATGCTTTACTTTACAGTCAGTACTTAGCAAATCATTTTGAATGAGTTCTAATTAAAGTATGTAGGTAGTTTTGTTTTTTAATTATGGCGTTTTAAAATGTGTATCGGTTTACTGTCTCAAAAAATTTCTACTCTTGATTACTCTTTGCTCGTTTATATTTAAAAGACTTTGATTCTTTACACTTAAATGCCCTATATAGTATATTACCTATTATCAATGCTCTTAAATAAAGTTTTGCTGCACAAGATAACGATTCCACATCCTATCCACGTAGCGTAGTGCTGTTTTTCAGACACTCCATTTATTACTTATGTAACTGTAATTAGAATTGTATAGTCGTATTTAAAGCTTTATGCATTCTCTACCTATGCCTATAGAGATAAAACAAAGTAGACGTAGAATACAATAACAGACTACAATAATAGAAGTGATATAGGAATATCAAAAAATTAAACTAAAAAAAATTACACGAGTTTAAGTCAACTAAAACAATAACATTGTCTTTCCTCTAATTGTTTCGCGATAGTTAAGGGCTCTTAACTACTGTCTAATAGGTAAGCTAATTTGTTTTTGCTTATCTATTAGATAGTAAATTAGAAATATTGCAGAGGTCACTTTTATTAGATAAAGTTTAAAAAATTATATTATACAAGATTTTGAAGTAAAACTTTTTCATCGACGTAGTGAATAAATTTGGTACGGTATTAAAAAAAATCCAAATGTCACGTTTTCTTCTAACGTTTCACCGCCACGGCTGCATGAGTATACTACTATTTAGACTACTTATGAAAAATATAATAAAAGAAGAATGATCTGTCATAAAGAAGTTTTACTTCATCATACATCATACTCGGAAGTGGATGCAGTAGCCCATAGACATTTAAAATTATCCTCCATTACCAATCAAAATAGACGTGCGTTGGCAGCCTTAAAGACCTAAAAGAAGAACTAAAATTCGAAATAACGATTTTCTTATCACATTTCTACCATAACAATACCTTAAATACATATGTACGAATATAGTCAAATGTGCATTGTTTCGTTGCTGCTTTGCCAGTCTCATTGAATTTAGTACCAGTGACATTTTTAATACTATAATGAATTTCTGCAACGTTTGATAATAGTTACGGCACAGCAAGGCTGTGGATTCGAATCCCGCATATCACAAGTATTCACATGGCTTACAAATACGAATAATTGATCCGGGTTTGGATGTTGCCTATGTGCAATTTACCGTCTTAATTTAAACGCCTTTACGATACGAGAAAAATGCTTTTTTGCACAAAATATGAATCTACGAGTAAACATACAAACAACACCATCCTGTACAGGTGGGTAGGTGAGCATGGTAATGAGAGTAAGGTTAGGAGTGTAGAGCCGGCAGTTTCGTAAAAGTAAAGTAAAGTTGCAGCCTATTTACGTCCCACTGGTGGGCACATGCTCTCATTTCTGAGAGGGTTTTAGGGCAAGTAGTGTTGGCGAACTTCACATGTCTTCGAAATATTTTTTTTCTAATTTCTCAGACATGCAGGTTTCCTCACGATGTTTTCCTTCACCGTCGAGCATGTGGTAAATCAGTACTTAAAATTGCAATTAACAATTTCATTGGTGCCGGCGGGGATCGAACCCGGGTTGCTCTATATGCAATTTACGTATGCAAAACGCCTTCACGATACGAGAAAAATGCTACTGTAATGCCGTGTGCGTTTTTTTGTACAAAATATGAAAAGACATAGAAACATCACCATCCTGCACAGATGAGTAGATGAGCATGGTAATGAGAGCAAGGTTAGGAGCGTAGAGCTGGTAGCCTCGTACTGACGCTGTTTATCAGAGACCAATATCGTTTGTGTGATAAGCAGGCAGGGTTAGATGCAGGATCACTATATTTTTCCTCGACTAAGAAGATTTGGCAGTATTAGACGTCTCGCTCATATGACGCTGTTCCCCGTCGCTGGGCAGCTGGGCTTGATATTTTACGTATAGTGTAAACGAGATAGTTATATCACAATCCATCGAAAGCCATTAGATATTTTTTAGCCTGAGGTATATAATGTAATAGAATTATTATAATCACTATACATATATCCGTATCTGAAAACCAATTACTTCTGTTTATGCATATGATGCGTAGTCTCTGGTCAGCATTCGAACCCAGGATCCGCTAATTCTCAGCTGTCAAATATTCTGAGCACTACGTCCCGCAGTCGACTAAAGTCAGTGATGAGAGAATGAGTGAAGTGCTAAAGAATCCTCATGTTATTATATAGTAATTCTCATGTTATATCTATGTAAGTATCTTTCTTTTATTTTAGGAAAATCCAATAGTAACCGTGACAGAAGGCAAACTTAGAGGCGCCGTGGGTACATTATTAGATGGATCTAAATACTATAGTTTCAAAGGCATCCCGTATGCACAGGCGCCTCTTGGCAATCTAAGGTTTCAGGTAAATACTTTGTGAATGTTTTGTACACTTTTATTTATATGCATATCAGAGAGTGTAATAATGTGTAGGTATGTTTTTATAATAATGTCGTATATGTGTATTATTGGTGTATTAAATAAATAAATAATTGTTATAATTATCTACTGATCTTTAATATACGTACTTCGAAAAGAGAGCTACTTCTTCGTCAACCTGTAGCAGTAGTCATCATCATCTTAATTACAGCCTGTCAAAATCTACTGCCGAGCATACGCCTTCCCCATAAATTGCCTCTTGGGAGAGTATTTGGCATAGTCTCCATCCGTAACGATGGCAACTGCATTTTTTTATTTTAAATAATTGTCAGGAAGTTGCTGCTGCACATGTCCTGTTTCATTCTTTGTGTCGTCACTTGCGACATCCACGGAGATATGGGACAGTGGAATCACCTACGCCACCACTACGCGGCGTAACAGTACTCCTTGCTTGAAAATAAATCGCAATGTGAAATAAAAATTTTACTTGTAAATTCCAATGAAAAGTTTTTATAGTAACATTACAGTAACAGCGTAAAATAACAGCTTAAGACTGCTGTGTTTCGTATGACGAGTGGAGAAATCCTGAGACTCTTTTACTGTAAATGAGGCATTCCATCATAGTACTCAGGCATGATAACGCATCTGCAATTTGATTCTTATTCGAGGATAAATGTGGATATCTATGGGCCCCAGCAATCACTTACCATCTAGTGCACTGTATGCTCGTTTGTCACCCTAATTCTATAAAAAAATAGAAATAAAGACCCAATCCTATCTTGTAATCAGCGAGGTAGAATTGCCTTTGTAAAGTATTCGGCTCTTAGAGTACGGTATATTGTTTAGGTACTTAGGCCTAATAGTAAAGTTGCAGCCTATATACGACGCACTGCTGGGCACAGATCTCTAACTTCTGAAAATTTAGTCCACTGCACTGCTACCGTGATTGTTGGCTTGAATCTTCTTGGTGGCTTGTAATACATGTTTTTCATACGTAGGTATGGACAATCAGGCACTAGTCCTCATTAGTTAGGTGTCATGGCAAGGAGAGAATATGTATAGTATGCATTCATTAATTCATTAATTGGTACGGCTTCGATTAAACTCGGGATGAGCACTGAAGGTTCTTAGCTACCAACAATTAACTTAATACCTACGACCTAGTTGAATATATCATAAAATTGGGAACATTTATAATTTCTAGGCACCGCTACCAACAAAACCATGGAATGGCGTTCGCGACGCAATCGAACATGGTCCTGTTTGTACTCAATACGATTTAAGTGTTTCAAAACTGATTGAAGGCAGCGAGGAGTGTCTCTTTGTAAATGTCTACACAAAATCTTTAAGTCCTCACGCTAAAATTCCAGTCATGGTGTTCATCCACGGTGGCAGTTACAGTTACAATTCCGGCGACTCGGAAACCTTCAGCCCGGACTTACTGTTGCGACACGATGTCATATTAGTAACTTTGAACTACCGCTTGGAACTCCTGGGATACCTATGCCTCGATACACCCGAGGTTCCAGGCAATGCCGGCATGAAGGACCAATCTGCCGCATTGAGATGGGTTAAAAACAACATAGCTCGATTTGGCGGTGACCCAGATAACATCACTATATTTGGAGAAAGTTCAGGAGCTAGCTCTGTCACGTCTCATATGTTATCGCCTATGTCCAAGGGGTTGTTTCACAAAGTGATTGTACAAAGCGGCACATGCATACACGACTGGGCGATCGACAGGAACGCTAAAGAGCGGGCTTTTCGAGCGGGAAAACTCTTAGGTAAAGAAACAAATGACACTAATGAGCTGTTGGAGTTCCTACGTAGTTTGAAGCCAACCCTATTAACGAACCTTGCACAAAAAACAATGACGTATGACGAGACATACCGAGGACTACCTGATTATTTTATCCCGGTCATTGAAAAGAAGTTTGATGGAGTAGAGGCTTTTATGGACGAGGAACCAATCGATTTGCTAATAAACGGTAAAGTGGCCAAGGTACCGCTTATGATTGGATACAATTCTGCCGAAGATTTAGTATTGATAAATTATCTCACAGAAAAACTGGACGTTTACAATAAGCATCCATCTTATTTCGTCACTAAAGAACTAGCAGCGAATATAGGGAGCGAGAAACTTAAAGAGTTTGGTGAGAGAGTGAAGCAGTTTTACGTAGGTGGCAGAAATTTAACTAAAGATGATCCCGAGATAATTGAAAAAATTGGTAGTGACATCCATTTCTTCTACAACACGCACAGGTTCGCGAATCTGTATAGTGCTTCTTGCCAGCCGATCTATATGTACCGGTTTAATTACGACACAGATTTAAACATTATTAAGAACTACACAGGATTTAGACACTTGAAAGGAGCGAGCCATGCCGACGAACTTTTCTATATGTTTTATAACTTTTTGAACAAGAAACCGTACGATGAACAACCAAAATTAAGAGAATTGGCGCTTAAA